ACGACAAACCCCTATTAAAAATCTTGGGACGCCGTTCAGGTGTAACTCTTCTACAGTGAAAACACTTTATTAAACGCTGTATGAAATACTCGATTTTAGGACTTCTAGGAAAATGCCTGTAACTTTTGATGTAAGGTCATACAGAGTTGTGCGAGGTCTTATTTTGATCAGAAACATTTGCTCTACAAAGCTGTGTTTTCATAAAATTTTTAATTGCATGAGTATCTAGGAAAAAAACATTATTTAAAGACCCATTTTTTCGAGGCTCTTGGAAAACTTGCTCAAAATCCCCGAAAAACCAGTTTTGTAACCAAAAGCAATACAGATTCTGGAACTAGACACTTCAGGCTATCTTTCCATGTGTGTATTGTAAAACCGATTTTTTGACCGAAAATCACCATTTCTGAGGGGGGGCCCTTAAAATAAGTTGGCTCTGAAAGGGATAAGTTGGTCTTGAAAGGGTTAAGTGCCTAATGGGGTTTTGTAGAGGAAAGAAAGCTGCATCCAGTCATAGGCTTAATCATCGCGGAAAGTTAAAGCGCATCATATATTTCAAAAACACTATACAGTGACCCTCTCCTCTGTGGACAAGTATCGGGCTTTTCGAAACTCTCCCATTTCTACTAGGACAATTTCAATAAAATGCTATACCAATTGTGGAAACCTATGCAGAAAAATGCGCTCTTTCACGCTGGCTATGTCAAACAAATTTTGGAGCGGCGGTAGATTTGCTGTTCTATCCAGCGGCGTTCTCTTCTTTTTCGAAAAAATAATCCGATCCCAAAAGGGTTAAGACAATTGTCACCATGTAAAGAAGATTTTTTTATCTTAAGAAAATCTTAATTTATTGAAAATTGGATCGTTTTAGAAAAATAAAAATAAATCTTCTCAATCATGTCATCCAATGTATCGCCAAGAACAGGTTCAAAACGACCACGAATAATGATTATTACTGCTGATGAAAGTATCATTGATCAAATTGAAAAAAGCAACAATGTATCATTATTGAAACAGATTATTCTTCCGGCCGAAGATAACAATAGTGAAAGATTTGATGAACAGGTTAGTGTTAGATTATTCTGTTAAAGAAAAAATAATGTATTATCTTCAAAACAAGGTACAATCATCACATAAGAAGAAGAAAGTTAAGGATGGTTCTTTGATTTGTGTCATTTGTGGATCACCTGCAAATGGATACAATTTTGGTGCAATTGCATGTGAAAGTTGTAAGGCTTTCTATCGTCGTAATGCTCGAAAAAATCCTGTAAGTTTCGAAAAAAATTACATCATATTTGTGTTACATTTATCTACGCATACATTCCATTTAACTATTCGAAATTGACTCAGTACATGTTAGTAAAATTAATGTTAGCATAAATTCATTGATTATTTGATAATAACAGAAATACATTTTAGACCTAAATATTCCAATGAAATAATTGATTTGTACATATACACATTTTTTTAGAGTTGTCAATCTTTTCGAATTTATGACTTTGTAGAAATATAATATGAATATCATATGAAGTCGAAATAGATTTGGCTGAAGATTTTTTGCAGACGAGTTGAAGAAAAATCTTTTTTGCAAGTTACTTATTAGCATAAGGACATGACTAATTCGAAAATATCTCTTCTCAGGTCTTTTCCGTTACCGAGATAACAAGCATTATCCGTAAAATAGCTACCTTTTCTGCCGACTACTTATAATCATACCTTTATGAATAAAATAACCATAAATAGCTCGGGTACAGTATAGAGACATGTTGCTTACTTTTCATTGGTAGAAATCGTGAAAAAAATCGGAAGTCCGACATGGTTAAAAGTGGAAAAAGTCCAAAATTTGGAAAATTTGCGCGCTCTCTCCGCCCACAGAAGACGTTTTTATAAAATTACAACTGCTAGAGAATCTAACGATTTCTTCTTATTTCTATAGCTTTTAGCTGACAACGAACATTTAGGGCTTTTGTTGTAAATTCTATAACTTTGCAAAGAAAGGTCATGTAGAGTTGGAAGAGATCTCATTTTAATCAGAAATGTGCGGGCTACAATCATGCCTCATTAAGAACGGTTCGGGTTATTTTTTGGGGTTTCTGAAAAACTCGTTTTCTAGAAAACCAGGTCTTCGAAGGGCTATGCGGAAGCC